AATGTGCCGCGTTATGCACTTGCAGACAGTAATCGAACGCGAATGAGTTCTATTACCGGGATCCCAGTTAAAGAACTGGGTATTCCGTCACCGGACCGCAAGCGTAAGAACGTAAAGATCGTTCAACCACCGCCCCCGCCTCCAGAACCGACTTCTAGTGTTCTGATTGAGGTTATTAGTCAGATTGTGCGATCCCGCCAAGAACCGACTCAGGGACGAATAATGGATCGTCTTCGACACCGTTATAATCCTGAGGCAGTAGCAATTGCCCTTAATCGCGAGTATGAAGATAGCCGACTGTTACGTCGATTTAATAATAATCGATTGGCTGAATATCATACTATTTCACCGAATATATCGTTTTTAAGTAATTATCCACTGTTTGATGCGAGACAGTGGCAAGAAGTTGTACTGCGTACAATCAAGGAGATCGCTGATCCAAATGGATCTACAATCGATGAAATAATTCAGTATATTCGCACGATCCGTCCCGATATGGGAAATCGTGTTGACCATTACGTAGAATTAGCCGCGTCTGAACTCGTGTTGGATCCGATCATTATTTCTCATAATGATCCACAGCGAGGTATTACTTGGCGAATTAATGGAGCCGTTGATCAAGCAGGCTCATCATCGCGCCGTTGAATAATTTAAAATTATTGAATAATCGACTACTGTAGCATTAACACAGTAGATATTGTACCGATTAAATTGCGTTATAATATCACCGAAAAATCCCCACGAACTTGTGGTCCGTATCTCCGCGTAAATTATGCAATCGATAAATTAACCGAATAATATTCTAAAAAAATAATAGAAAAATCCCCGAATAATCGTGGTCCGTACCTCTAGTACCGATCATGTATCGAATTGTTATCGTTTAACGACGTACCGAATAAATCGATTAAATTATCGTTTAAATTATCGTTTAAATGACGGGTAAATAATTGAAGATTAATACGAATAATCTTCTTGTAGACCGAATGGAGCCGCTGTCGAACTCGTGTGATCGCTGCAAGCATAACACGAACAATCGGAAATGCACCGACTGTCTTTTTGGACAGAACATCGACAATATGAATCCAGACACAGTCGTAACGCGACTGGTCAGCGAAGTGATGCATGCCAATTTGGATGCATACACCACCCTTATGGAATCGCGTTATGAATCGATCCTCCAGCGGAAACCGTGGTTGTTGGCACAGATCAACGACGCAGTTCGCGAATTTGTAAATAGCCGACGGGACCATTGGCAGCAAGTGCCAGATCCTGGAGCAGCACCGTCGCAGATGGCGATGCGGTTTAACGCACCGTCACAACCGAATACACAGGTAAATAATTACCTAGCGGGTACTTTATTATCGGCAGAAGAGTGGGAAATGATTCCCTTAAACCGTTCTATTCCCAGTACGTGGGAAAATGATATTCTAAATTTTGATGTTAATTTACCGCAGGCATATATGATGCCACAGCAACCGATGTTGAATTATCAACAATTTCCGCAACAGTTCCTACCGGCGCAAAATGCGCAATATCCGCAAGCTGACTGGGCATTTAATCAGCCGCAGTATCAGCAATATCGTCAACCGATGCCGATGCAGGTACATGAATTAAAAATTTGTGATGTACCATCGTGTAAATTATGTAAAATTCAGTCTAACACTCCGTCTGTACAGCAGGCGACGTGCAGTACCAGCACTATCGACCCGTGGCTCGCTGAGCGCGGATATCGGCCGAATGTCGCGCAGCAGTTTGGTTCCCGAACTGCCAGTCAACCGCAGAATGTCGAGCGTCAGCCAAGCACGTCGCGTAATCAACCGGACGCGCGTGCGGGACTGATGAAGAAAGTAAGTAATATGTCGTTAGAGGAATCGACTACGTCAGTGGGAAATGAGTGTTTACAACCTTCCTCTGACAGTAGTAGCGGCAGACCTCCGTTTGGTGGCCGCCACCGAATTGAATATAATTTAGAACCGTCTGCGCATCATTCGCATTCGCGCAAGAATATCGTAGTCGAAGGTAGAGACTTAACCGAATTAAATAATAAATTGTCTGCTGAATTGCAGAGACGAAACAGCAGACAACGCAATCGCGATAACATTCGATCGGCTGAATATCAGCAACAATCGTCGCAATCGCAGCAGCCTAAGCAGAATGTTCGACCGGCTGGAGATCAGCAGTCGAGTAATCAGAATAAACCGGCTGGAAATCAGCAGCGCGATGTTCATCGTCGCGGATACCGTGATAATCGTCAGTTGCAGATTGATCCTGCGACTGTTATTAAAGATGTGATGCACATTGTTAATAATGTCGAAATCTATGTGCACAAATTAACCGGCGTCTTGGGAATCGCGAATCGTGAAGAAAACCCAGACGTAGCGCAGATCCGTAATATGATCCATGAGTCTGTGGATTTGTTGGAACGAATCGGGCTACGAGGCCGTATGTTGGAAATCGACTATGCTAACGTCGATTTAATACGATCGCTGGACGTGCAGAAATATGCGACTCGCCGTTCGAACTCTCTGCGTACAGCGTTGGACATTAGTCAGCTGTACGTACCGATCACCGCTGTGGACATTGAAGTTTTATCTCAATTCCGCATTTTTGGCGATAAAAATACGGAGACATTTCTCCTGCAATTTATCTTACCGGAAACCGATCCCGCAAAGTTTTATTTCTTTTGTCGGGTAGCCAGTAATCTGAACCGTTGTACTCGTAACCGACATATCGACTGGATGTCGATACCGTATAATACCGGGCTGAAGACTGCAGTTATGTGCATCTTAGCCGCGCTGCTTGGAAGCCACAGCGCTCATAATTACATCTATAAGCAGAAAGATCGGCCGGAATATCGGAAAATGCGCGATAAGATCCTGTTATTGGGTCAACCGAAAAGCGAACAGCAGGAGGCACAGGAATTACGTGATATTCTTGCCGCCGCTGGCCAGACCGAAATGGACACCAATCAGGGTGGTCCTAATCAGTTTTATGATGATATGGACGAGCGGATGAAGCGATTCGCAGACCGTCAAAATCAGTACGAAACCGGCACCAGCTTCAATAAGCGGAAGCACGTGCCTGATTCACCGGATACTCTTGCGGGAAGTAAAACCGAACAGCCAGTATATAAAATGCGAGTCGTAAATACTCCTACGGCGAGCAAAGGCAATGCTGCAGGGAATCGGTCTGCACAGCCACAGTTAGGAGTGGCAGGATGTATGAATCCGCCGCCCAAACCGAACGCGCCCACGGGAAGTAAACCTGTGTTGATTCCACGAGCGGTGGAGAATAAACAGGCCGTGGCAGTATCGTCAGCTCCAGCGTCGATTAGCTCGACGACTGTGAAATTGACAGGTACGAGTACTGTACCAGTAGATAATAACTTACGTTCACCGGCCAATAATGGCGATAATAAAAAACCGAATAATAGTAATAAACCGAAAGTTGCAGGAAAAGTGCAAGGACATCAACAATCGGCTGCTCCTGTGCCAACTGCATCTGCTCCAGCTGAACAGCCTGGACAAATGAAACCGGACGAAGCTGCAAAGTTGGCAGCATTGAATGCTCGTAATGAAAGGTTACTGAGCACTATATCGTTATCGCGTATGAAACCGCACGAGCGAAAGTTTTACGAAACTACTCAGAGTTTCCGCGATCATGTGGAACCGTCAAGTGATGAGTATGTGCATAGCATACTGAAAGACTTGGTTAATAAGAAAATTACCGATAATCGACATTAGTCGAACCGGCACATGTGCTGCGATTGGCACTGCTGGGCGCTACTGCTGACTGCTTGACGTTGATATGCTGTCCGATGCGGATCCGAACGCTGACGAAAAGCTGGACACCGAATAAAGCGGATAAAGCTGTAATTTGGAGGATGACGATTCTCCGGAATGGGAAAAGCATCATTGGAATGGATCTCATAAAATTGCATTTGATTTTGTGATTGTTAACAATAGAATATGCCGCCCTTGTGGTCGCATTTTGCTCATACCTTTGCCTAATCGTGTTGCGTGTTTTGTTGCCGTTTTTGCATGGGCTTCGGAGGGCCTCGCCGTTCCACCCGTGGCATGTTAGGAGGTTGGTGCTGCCGTATAGATAGGCAGAGTCGCGCCACTTCCGTTGCACTTTTGCGCACTTGCACGTGCGAGCTGTTTTTCGTTTCCACCGATCTGCGATCGGTTTGGATTTCACTGGGCCGTCTTCTCCGCAGAATCTACATTCTACGGATCGATGTGTTTTTCCGCATGAGATTTGTGTTCTGGGCATTGTGCCTTTATTCATTTTCTTCGAAAATTAATAAACGATCGTTTGTGGCTGGCGTTTGTTCTGTTTTTCCTTAGCAGCGTGAGCGCCACGCTGACACTGTGTATTACCGGTATGTACGCATACGATCGGATTAATGACTGGATTTAGGTTAGATGAAGAACGATAACCTAAGAGATTCCATTCCTTATTATTGTTTGTTGAGAAGGCAGCGCACGCTATGCATGGATCTGATCGAGATAATCGCTTCAGCGAGCCTTGTCGGTCGAAGACAAGATCAATTCGCTGCAATTATTGTGTAATGCCCACCTGGGTCAGGATAATGCACACAAATTCTCCGTAAACCTGTTTGGATAGCATAAGATTTCTGTTTACGCAATTCTGGTATTTATAACCTGGGAATCTCATGATGCATGTAACAGCTCAATAAACCAGCGGTCCGAGGTTTCCCAATAAAAAATTTCGGCGTCGTACACAGATTAAGCCCCTCAAGGATAATATTGATTCCCGTCAGCTATTTAGTCGAAACGCAGTTTTACAAGGACTGATGGTCCCAGTTCGTACAGTCATATGTACATTGTATAATACATACCTATATGCAACCATATCTGGCTTTTTTTTTCAACTGGTAAGTTTGTTTTTCGGCTTCGGCCAGCATACATAACAAATCGCCTGGCTTTTTTGTAAATTACGTAAATCGTTAAATTGGCTTTTGCCGCTGTTAGTACTTAGTAGCCTTTATCGCCCTGTTCTCCCTCTTCCAGTTTTGGCTCACGGTAGTCGCGCAGCCGAATACTGAAGAAATACCGCCTGATTTTGATTTCAAAAACCAAAATCTGCCCGAATGCCCGGAGAATGCATTTTCGAAAACAAAGCTGTCGGAAAGCACTGCCCAAAGGTTAACGTAAGTGTGTAGCCGGCAATTACATCCGCAGGCCGCAGCAGACGTCATGACCGGATTGACACTTGCAACAACAACCGTTACATCTCTTACAACATTTGTTAAAGTGGCATTGCTGATGATTGCCGAAGTACGGAGAGGCAGTTTTACGCTCTCGATGGAAAGAAGAGGATATATCAACATTAACAAACAGCTGAATGTTGGCGCCGGGGTGAATTGAGCGGCTGATGTGTGGGTAATCGAAAACGCAAACGCAGTCGAAACAGTAAGTACGCCATCACGCAGTTCATTGGATAACCTTTTAAGGGTATTTTTAAGAGCTTTTTAAGGATTCACTTTATAAGGGTGGTTCCGCTTTTTACTGTCAAATCTTTCTCTTTTACATTTTACTTTCTATAAACAATTTCAACTTGCAGTAACACGATTACACAGCCAGCTAAGCGTGAATGTTGTTGTTACACGCGTTTAATAAGACAGTACTTGGCTGGCGCCATCCGTTATTAAAGTGCACTGGCGTATTACTTTGTATTAATTCAATGATTTAATAAATGTTAATAATGGAAGTGTGCCAATTGTAGTACCAAATTCACGTACAGCCGGTTGGACGAGCAGTATTACCGTTATGGCGTGATAATTCTTCTCACCTCACCGGCTCATAAAATTTCTGACAGTTTTGCCAACATATCGGCGATTGGATGGATCGAGTAACTTCTTTATAATCGAAATCGACGTTGCAAAATTGCAAAGGATCTATAATCGCGAAACAGTTCGTAATAACAACACGAATACTGTGGTTTACCAGCAACCGACATTCAAGGTTATTGATCACGTTAATACATTATCAGGTTAATACATTGTAATTTTAGCAAAAGCAAGCTGAAGTTTAACGTGTACATATTACACAGCCGCGCAGTAATGTTGGTATAATCTTACATGCGTCTGGCACATTCTAAATATAATCTGTTTACTCAAAAATTAGAAAACGCATCCGCCGTTACAACTAACATCGCAAATAATCTGAAATTACTGTTTAAAATGATTAAATTTTTGAAGAAAGAAATACAAAACTGAGTGACTATCGCCGACTGGAAGGCAACCCGGACGACACTACCGAATTTGGAGAAACAGATGCAGAATTTTTTTGACAAAGCACGCGCCGTAGTCCCTCTTTGGCAATTTTCACAATGTCCTTGTTCATTAGCAGTAGAAACACCTGAGAAGCATATCAATATAAACAGCGGTTCAGAAGACACGGAACAAATCTATGGAGTGACTTACCGGACTTCCGGCATATCCGATTTCTTGCACAGCCATAAACCATCCCATGCGCACTTCATCGGCAAACCAGTATCGCCGAAATCCGTAGTAGGTCATCAGGTATGGTGCATAGCAAGCCATATACCAGGCGTAGGAGCACAACAATAGGCGAAACAAGTTAAAGCGCTTTTTTGCCGCCGCTTGTAGGCCGTTCTGGGCACGGAAATGATGGAATAAAATGACTCCATACACTACCGCCTGCAACGCAAGGGGCAGATATTTACCAAGGATGCCCACTGCATTAAAAATATGCTGATTCGTCACGCGAGTATATCCGCAATCCACCTCACGCTTAGCAAAATAACTCCCGATCCCGAAGACGCCGGGAAGATTAACGGCCACGCTGATTACCCATGCCGTGATGATGAAGCCGGCAATTGCTGCAGTCGACGAAATGCGGCTATAGTAGTGCGGAAAGATTAAGGCGATAAGACGGTTTACCGCGAGGAATAATGAGCTCCATATTTCACTGCAGATGACTATTTGGCAGACGAAGAACATGGCGGTGCAGTTGATACCGTCGATTGATGCGCCCAGAAATACGCCCCAACCGGTAACGATGTAGAACGGACTGACGATGCCGGTCTGCAGCATGTGCAGTAGCTGATGATGGGCTAGAAGGATGCCAGAGCCGGTGCGCAGCTGTGGCCGTAGTATTATGGTGAGAAACAGCGTTGTAGAAAGAACGGCACCCGTGACAGCAGCGCAGCCGTAGACGGATACCAGAGCGACCAGTTCGCTCTGACGGTTGGTGACCGTCTGGGAAAGGTTACTGGAAATATTCATCTCTTCTGAAGTGCCAGTAGGGAATATGCGCAGTGGTGCGTAATGCGTCTTCTTTGATAACAAACAACTGCCATGCACTGCGCATAACTTTCCCAGGCTGTAGAATCCTGGCAAGCACAAAGCCGATATGATTGCAGCATGGTCAGCGACACTGAAGATGTTGGATGTAAATCTTCAAACCCGTAGATGGTGTCTGACAAAATGCTTCCTTTTCCGTGCGTTTTCGCCTCGATATATGTAGTTTTCTCTGACGTCGATGTACCCAAGTATCAATGTTAATGCAAACACAGCGCTAAACGTTTCTGAAGGTTTTTCCCGGATAAGTTCCAGAAATATCGGTGCCGATGGCGCCAAAAGAGGAAAGAAAAAAGACTACTGGCTTGTTGATCGTTGACCCGGCTTTCGTCACTCGCTGCAATTACATGCATTACTCGTACAGGGGCAATTACGGTGTCAGATTGTGTCTACGTTTAGAGAAATACTTGTGCTTGTTCTGACATGCAACCATGGAATTTTTTTGGGCAAAGACAAATTTTTCGATAACTCACTTTCGCTAGTAGCATCAGTAATTTCAGTCTTTTTCTGATTTACATTGGTAAAACGTATTTTTGAATGAAATCTTTTTGGGGCATTTCGCTAGGTCGTTGAGGGATCGGTAATGAATGCTTTCCTTTTCCAATTAACAGCAATGTAAAGCCACTAATAAAGCCACATGGTCTTATAATTTCTTTGAACCACCATGATTCGCTCATGATGTGAAGAGCAGTTTGACCGCTCAAATATCTACATATGCTTCAGCGGTTCTTATAACCACTACCACGCTACAGCTGACCGCATGGACGCTGTACAGTATTCAGTATTCACCATTCGGTGTGTCTTCGAGCTTTGCAGGTACCCCGTGATGCTGCCTGGCAGTGTGCAAGTGTTCCGGCATAATAAAGCCGTACTTTCCGTCCACCTTTCTCAAGCAGGGGCTTAGAAGAAGTATTTTGGCAGAATTTGGTTATGAGTAATTATGGTGTTTTGGTACTTCGTTTATACTTGAATTGTGATAGTTACTAAAGGTTCTGACAGCTGTATGTTGCGCGCTGGCTGTATGTTCAGCTGGAAAACTTTGCTGCCTAATAGTGTTCAAAATACTACTGAAAGGTCTTGATATTTGCTGTCCTGATGAAGTCAATATACCCTTATCTTGCGTGTTACAATCCATGTACAGTACAAGTACATACTCCGACTTAACGCATACCAGATCGAATTCGAAGAAGCTTAACTTGTCGAATTCAATAAACCAAGCAAACTATAATTTGGCTTTAACAGTCAAAACCGATACTCTCTTCGGATGATACACTCTCACTTTTAATGCGAATGATTGCGAAATAATTATTGAAACAGAAAGGAATCTGCAAAAACGCCGAATCAGTAAAGTCGGTAAGACCCACTCGGGGGCACGATGGAGGACATTACAGAGTTCGGAGAAACGGATCCCGATCTTGCTCGGCAAAACAGGCGCCGAATTCCTCCTTTGGCAACATTTGCAACGTCCTTGTTCAGCAGCAGCAAAAACACCTTACACAACGTCAAACGTCAGCAAGGGCTAAGCGGATGCGATGGAAAAGTCAAAAACTACGTACCGGACTTCCGGCATATCCGATTTCTCGCACGGCTATAAACCATCCTTGGCGTACAGTGTCGGCAAACCAAAATCGAGGGAATCCATAGTAACAAATTAGATACGGGATATACCAGGCGATATACCATAAGTACGAGAACAGCAGCAACCGGAACAAAACAAACCGCTTTTTTGCCGCCGCTTGCAAACCGTTCTTGGAGCGAAAATGGCGGAATAAAATAATTCCATAAAGAACGGCTTGAAGTGCCATTGGAAGATACTTTCCCATGATGCCAGCGGTGTCGAATAGACGCTGATTTGTCACGCGAACAAGACCGCAGCCCATCTCCCGCCTGCCAAAAACACTTCCAACACCAAGTGCACCGGGAACGCTAATTGCCATGCTGATGCTCCATGCCGCGATTACGAAACCAGTATAGCTGTGCTCGATGAGATGTGGCTATACTGGTGCGGATATATCAAGGCGATGAAACGGTTGACAGCTAAGAACAGCGAACTCCATGTTTCACTGCAGATAATCAGCTGACAAACACAGTACATGGCGTTGCAGTTGAGGCCGGCAATGGAGACGCCCAACCACACACCCCACGCGGTGACGATGTAGAACGGACTGACGATGCTGTTCAGTAGTACGTGCAGTAGCTGGTGATTTGCGATAAGAATGCCGGAGCCGGTGCGCAGTTGCGGAATCAGTATAATGGTGAGAAACAAAGTGATGGAGAGAAAGGTGCCCGTGATAGTTGTGATGCTGTTGAGGGATATTATGGCAATTAGTTCACGGTGACGGAATGGCATCGTCGCGGAGAGATTGCCGGTAATATTCATCTTTTACAGCTACCACGGACGATTGTCTACAGTGTTTCGAAAGGTTTTTTCAGCTCCGAAATTCATGTTCAGTTTCGAAAGGTTTATTCGAAATCCCCAGCTCCACAGTCGACTCAGAACAAAACGCTGAACATTAGACTCCGTGTGATGCGTTTGCAAGTGCAGCATAAGAGTCCAGAGAACCAACAGGTGGCAGCAGCTAGCGTAACGGAAATGCCGTTCGATAGGGTATACATGCTTTGCTAACAGAGCGACAGACTGTCTGCGGCGACACGGCATCCATGCAACGTCAGCGCATCATGGTAACAGCGACAATGCAGACATCGCACCTCCTGTTACTAATCCTTTTTCCTGTGCACGTCTAGCTAATGCGACACTGATGACGCTTAGAAAGAACAGAGTAGCACCATTTGTCAACTTTTATCATATGCTTTTTGGAATAGATGCAATAACAGTGCAGAAGCCACTGCCTTCGATTCTGGAAACTGCGCAGTTATGCTGGAGCGCCACGGTTGCGTCACCTTGCAGGCTACCGGAAGATGCCGACCATGACAGGTAATCTGGTAATGCTACGCTAATAGGAAATTGCAGGAATCCTGACTGCAGGCTCGACTCCGCAGCTATTTTCCAGTATTCGTTTTGGGGTGCGCCGGCATCTTCATCGCCATTCGCCGTCCACAATTTCTTGCACGTTTTGCAGACCGGAATCTGCAATCAAGTTTACATCGTCACCAGTTTGACGTTAGGGCTACCAGCAGCCACGACGCGGTTGATCAATTGACCATCACCCATTCACTTACTAGGTGAATGTGTGATGGTTTTTTTATAGTGGCCGTCGTGTAAAGTGGCCACAGTTTACCGGATGCGGTTACATTTGCCAGGATATCGGCGCCACCACCCTGGGCGGCGGTGGTCCCACCCCGATGCTAGGCGCTCGGCCGTCTTTATACTGCTGTTAGTCTACAACTCTGCATGGTGCATCTGCTCCGGTCACTGTTCCAGCAGAAAGATTATATATGGAACGTTTCGTACCAAAGAAAAAAACTGGAACGTTTTTCTCCTTCTTGTAGTCACTGTAGTCATCTGTAGACAACCAGTAGACACCCTGTATACAGATACATCCTAAGAAAACCTAAGAAACCAGGTGACTACAGTATGTCTACAGTGGTGTCTACGGGCTGTGTACAGAAGACTACCGGTGTATTGTATACATGCAGAATATCGAGCTGGACCTAGGAAAGCCTGCCTGTATACAGCGATAGACATCTGTAGGCAACCTGTAGACATCCTAAGAAAACCTAAGAAACCAGGTGACTACAGTATGTCTACAGTGGTGTCTACGGGCTGTCTACAGAAGACTACCGGTGTATACAGACAGAGTATCGAGCTGAACATACGAAGGGCTGCATGTATACAGCGGTAGACATCCGTAGACAACCAGTAGACACTGTTGTAGACACGCTGTAAACATCCTAAGAAACCTAGGTGACTACCGATAGGTCTACAGGGAGTTTACAGCCTGTATACGTATGTCTACTGTGGCTACAAGGAGAGAAAAAACGATCCACTTTTTTTCTTTGGTACGAAACGTGGCACAGGTGTATAATGAAAGATGGATGCAGTTATTTGAAATATGCTTATACGTAACTCTGCATGCATGTCTGCCGACTCTTTTCATCTTCCCATTGAGTTTTTCATTTTACAAATTTTAATTGAACCCTTGAGGTAGACGAGAAGCGTGTCAGTCAGATGTCTCCATAGACTCGTGCGTTAAAGTCCAGCCTTTTGTTCGCGTCGATACCTGGGTAAAGCTTCCCGGCCAACATTGAACGTTGATTAATTTTTTCAAATTGTTGTTTCCTCTGTTTTCGAGCTGTTCAGGAAGTTAAAACACTTTGCTTTATGCATATTTCAGCCTCTTCAGAGTAATCAAGGTCGAGGCGTATGCCTACAGTCAGCTACTAATTTTGTCTGCCTGTCAAACGTACGAGCACCATAAGAGTGTATTCATAGGTGTCATTGTTAGATCTAGATCAATCGACACCGGCGGGTTGGCTCGGCAGATTGGCGAATGAGTCGTCCACCATTCTGTCTTGCTTTGGCAGCAAGGTCGAAGCTATTTAATTGGACATCTATCCCCCACCAATCCATCTTTCTGTCGGTTATAGGCGCATTCAATTAATACATACACATGCCTAGTACGTAGGTATGTGATAATGTGCGTACTTGCAAAGGCATACGGCATACGTATGTACTTACTGAGTCAGGTTTTCCTATAATCCCAGTCGCATAACTGTACCTTCGATGATCGGGCGGTTTTTGGTGGCCCTCAAGATAATTGAACCGTAGCGCACTAGCATCACTGCGCCGTTTCCTGAAACGTAGGCACCAGCGTACTGTAATTCCATCCATCCCCAGCAGGAACATGAAAAAAGTTAGGAAAAGCTGCAATTCTCTGTTTTCCATATTCGTCATCGGTGTCGTATAACTAGAACAACACTGGAGAGAAGGTTACTTACACGCAATGAGAGGTTTGCGCAGTCGCTATTGCTTATTACCATGCTGCACCGACGTCACAAAAACTCCGTGTTGCCCTCGCTAGGCTATGACGATATGTATGCGCTTTTGAAGGCATCTATCTTAGTGGAGCGTTGATTCTGCGTTCTTTACACTGTTTTATGATGCACTTGCATGTAAATGCTAAGGAATCAATTGCATCTCTTTTCGTTTGATTCATCGGATTGACTCAATCTGATTGAGCAACCCTTTCAAGTTACTGGAGACAATCTTCAGTGGCAGCGTTCAAAGATGAATATTTCCACGGTAATCGGCAATCTCTCCGCTACGATGCCATTCCGTCACCCCGAACTTATTGCCATAATAGCAGTCAACAGCATCGCTACTGTCACAGGCACCGTCCTCTCCATTACGTTGTTTCTCACCATTACACTGCGTCCGCAATTGCGCACCGGTTCCGGTATCCTCATCGCTCATCACCAGCTACTGCACGTGCTGCTGAACAGCATCGTCAGTCCGTTACACATCGTCACCGCTTGGGGTGTGTGGCTCGGCGTCTCCATTGCCGGCGTCAACTGCAACGCCATGTTCTGTGTTAGCCAGCTGATTACCTGTAGCGAAACATGGAGTTCGCTGTTCTTGGCTGTGAACCGTTTCATCGCCTTGATATATCCGCACCATTACAGGCACATTTCATCGAATAAAGCGGTGACTGGTTTCATATTCACGGCATGGGGCATCAGTATAGCAATTAGCGTTCCCGGTGCCTACGGTGTTGGAAGTGTTTTTGGTAAGCGGGAGGTGGGTTGCGGAATTATTAGCGTGACAAATCAGCGTTTCGTCAACGCAGCTGGCATCATGGGTAAGTATCTTCCGTTGGCACTGCAGGCAGTTCTTTATGGAATTGTTTTATTCCGGCATTATCGCGCCCAGAACGGTCTGCAAGCGGCTGCGAAGAAGCGGTTTGTTTTGTTTCGGTTACTGCTTGGCTCGTATGCATGGTATATTGCGTGGTATATTCCGTATCTGGTTTGCTATTATGGATTCCATCGTTTCTGGTTGGCCGACAGCGTGCGCGCAGGCTGGTTTATAGCGGTGCAAGAAATCGGATACGCCGGAAGTCCGGTGAGTTATTTCGACCGTTTTTTCGTATCGCTTAGCTCATGCTGACGTTTGACGTTTTACAAGGTGTTTCTGTTGTTGCTGAACAAGGAAGTTGCAAGAGCTGCCAAAGAGGGAATTCGCCGCGTATTTTGCCAAACAAGATCGGGATCCGTTTCTCCGGATTCTATAATATCCTCCCAGTTTCCTTCGAGTCACTCATAGCCAGTTTACAGTTTTAGGGGGATATATGGCTATAATAAATAAGACGTTACCCAACTTCAGATATTTTGATGTTATCCAAATCCCTTCCTAATTCTTATGATTATTTTGTGAATCAACTTTATTCGTGCTTAAAAAATTTGGTATCTAATCTTTGCCATTTAATCTTATGTTTATTAATTCTGACAAATTCAGCCTTATTGGATTTGAATCGGTGTGTATCATTCGTCGGCGCACATTCCTGTATTATCGGTGGGTTGCACCTTTCACGATAAAGGTAAAGTGGTGCGCTGATGCAGTAACAAAGCAAAAAAAAAACAGAGCCAACTAATTCTTTTTCACAATGGTGTGGTTTTGGTAATGTCACAAGATCAACCAAATTTTTTTAAACTGGTGAGGTTTCAGTATGGACACAATGCCCAGCGATGGGAAGACATAATTCCCTTGGATAATACAAATATTTGCGGAAAAACTGGTAAGGTTTCCAATCTCGTGCAAGGAAGGCCTCTCCGATCTAAGGAAAGCGTTATTCGGTATCGCCTTTGACTTTTAACACGATTGATGGTGCGCTTAGCGGTAGCTGCCAATGAAGGGAAGTTGTATGGATCGTTTCTATTTACACACCCGTTTTTTACTAGCACTCTCTCCATTGTTTGACTGGTTTTAATTCGCATTATGGTATTCTGACCGGACGTCCTTGCTGATTACTAACTGACCATAGTATAGAGTCCAGTGTCCAGCAAGGGACTGAAAAACCGACTCCAGTCCGACCTAAAAGTTTTTTAAGGGGCTGCAAATCTAGCTTTAACTCTTGAATATTATTCTGGTCAATACAGCTGGACTGTTACTTGCTGTACAAATTGTTTAAGCCGCGAAAGTGGAACACCGGATAGCCATTCGACGAAATACGCCTGTAGTGGTGCGGATAGATTAGTACAGAGTAGCATTTATACGCCAAGGACAACTTGAAGTAACCTCATGTTTTACTTAGTTAATGCCAGCAGTAACAAGCCCATGCAGCTACATCGTCAAACTAGTAACTATGTGAAACTAACTGCTGATGCCGTTTTTCAAACGTGCAAAGCCTGTGGGTGGGTGGTGAAGATGCCGCTACAGTAGTAATTTCGCGTTGCATGCGTACAGATACAAATCAGATATCGGGTCTGATGATGATGAAAGACATTAAGAGCAATAAAAAGCATAGGCTAAAGGGTTATTGAAAAATAGGTTGTAACTTGTGCCAATAGAAAGAACTACAACAAAAAATCACATGCAGTTACCACTAAGCTCCTTATCATTAATTTTGGTGTTAATTCATTCAAAGGCAATGCTGTCGTTGGATGAAACGCTCTCATTTTAACAACGCGAATATTCTGCAATCAGTAAATGTCTGAAGCGATGCAAAAAACTGAAAACTTGAAAACTGGCTATGGCCGACTCGAAGGCAGCTTGGACGATACTACAGAGTTCGGAGAAACCGATCCCGATTTGGCTCGACAAAACACGCGCCGAATCCCTTCTTTGGCGGCATTCACCGCATCCTTGTTCATCAGCAGCAAAAAAACCTTGAAAAACACCAGACGTCAACAAGAGCAAACCGGATAGGAGGCAAACGTCAGAGATAACCTACCGGACTTCCGGCATACCCGATTTCTTGCACACCTATAAACCAACCTGCACGCAATCTATCGGCGTACCAGACATTAGGGAATCCATAGTAGCAAATTAAATACGGCAGATAGCAGGCGGTATACCATGCATACGAGCCCAGCAACAACCGAAACAAAAGAAACCGCTTCTTCGCCGCCTCTTGCATACCGTTCCGGGCGCGATAATGATGGAATAAAATAATTCCATAAAGAACTGCCTGCAGTGCAATTGGAAGATGCTTACTAATTATGCCGACTGCGTTGTAGAGATGATCATTTGTCACACGAATAAATCCACAATCCACCTGCCGCTTCCCGAAATAACCCCCAATCCCGAAGACACCGGGAACGTTCATCGCCAGGCTGATGCTCCAAGCTGCGACAATGAAGCCAGCAATGGCAGCATTGGAAGAAATGTGCCTGTACTGGTGCGGATAGATTAAAGCGATGAAACGGTTAAAAGCTAAGAAAAGCGAATTCCATGTTTCGCTGCAGACAATCAGCTGGGTGAGGCAGTACAGGACGGTGCAGTTGAGGCCGGCAATGGAGACGCCCAGCCACACAGCCCAAGCGCTGACGATGTAGAACGGACAAGCGTAGCCGGTGTGCAGCATATGCAGTAACTGGTGATGAGCAATGAGGATGCCGGAGCCGGTGCGTAGTTGTGGACGCAGTAAAATGGTGAGAAACAGCGTCATGGAGAGAACGGTACCCGTGATAGCAGCAATGCCGTTAAGAGATATTATGGCAATTAGTTCGCGGCGTCGGAATGGTATTGTCGCGGAAAGATTGCCGGTAATCGAGGAAATATTCATCTTTCTCATGTGCCACTGAAGACTGTCTGCAGTAATCTGAAAGGATTACTCCATAATAAGAATCAAACGGAAACTACACAATCAGCCCCTTATTGTGCATATGCAAGTGCAGCATAGTGCCCTCTAAAGAACTCACATCTGAAAACATCTAACGCCTTGATGATGCCTTTAAATAACGCTCATATACGTTGCTAGGCGGACGACCGACTGTTTGTGACGAGACGGTGACCATGTGACGACCACAGTGTCCATGTGACGTCAATGGAGCATGGTAATACCGACGATGCAAACCTTACACCGCACGTTGCTGATCCATTTTCCTGTTGATTTCTAGCCAGTATGGCACCAATGACGCCTATGGAGAACAGAGTGGCAGTCATTACTAACTTTTTTATTTGTTTGCTAGGATGGATGCAGTTACAGTTCAGACGTCCCCGCCTCAGGAAACTGGGCGGTTATTCTGGAGCGCCGGGATTTCGTTATCTTGCGGGCTACCGGAAACTCCCCGGCCGCCGAAGGTATTGCTACGCAATTACGGAATTACGGGGAAGCCTGACTAAATGCGCTGGACTTTCTGTTTTGGAGCAGAGATGCAGTTCTCGGCCCATTATGGATTTAAGACCATTTTCTTTTTGCTGTTTATTACTGATAAAGCGAACATTTCCACCGTATCGAGGCATCTATTTTATTCGTTAGCCCGTCCAGATCCTGCATTAGTCCGTTTTCGGTCCTGAATTAGTAATGTCTGTTGTTTTTTGCAATATGCTGTTTTATCTGCAACACTTTCACCTTTATCGTGCAGGGTACAATCCACTTACAGTACAAGTATCTTCTCTCGGGTTAAAAGGGCACGTGCTCAAGACAGCCGCGGCATTTCCTTTTTACAAAAGCAAAATTAAAACGCTTTAAGAAAAGCAGTAGAACGCGCTTCTGCAGATATGTCTCAAATTTTACGGCCCAGGAAATGCAAGTGCTTTTATAGCGGGAAACAGCGTCAGCACCAATACTGCTATATGCAGCAGAGCCATTTTTACCCATATAGTACGGAGGGCATCGCTCGGGAAAGGACATGCAGTAAAACGCGTTTTAAAGAAAATCTGTGACAACTTGCTGTTGTGTCTAACTGTCAAGGCTTTCGTTCAAACTTGCAGAAAGCCGCCCTATGGCCGGTTTTCTGATTCCAAGTGGCAATACCGGACGCTTTCTGATTTATTAATATTATTAATTTTTATTTAAATAATTATTATTAGATCAGATAAGGAAGGTCGTGAGATTTTTGCAGTGGATAATTTTGGAACAGGCGTTTTTTTTCTCGTTGGCTTTCGTCCTTTCAGTATGAGTAACATTCTGTGTTTGCTTAGGTTTGATTTTCAGATTAAAGAATTTTCAAAACTTTCTCACGATTGTCAAAAGCAATACTCGTCATGACATCTAGCAGCTGTACGAAAGCACATATGAAAGCTTTATAGTTCACCAGGTAGAGCCACAGCTATCTTAATAAGACGGGGAAGTTCAATAGGTCGCTGCCCGTTAAAACAGCAGCTTTTCTTAGCTGATGCAAACAAACCTACAGAAGCCTCTGTACTTGAAGCCTAGAAGTATTCACATATAGATACTTCTGAATGAAGTATGGCTTCCGCTTAAATTTTTAAACCAACTAGTGCGCCCGCGCTTGCACCTTCATTGATTTTGGTGGCTAGACTATTAAATTACAGTTTATTCTAAATTTTGGTAAAAAGAGGGGATGCGGGCCATGCGGCTTATACTTAACCGTACTCTGAACAGAAAATGAGAATGGTTTGGCTGTGCAATCACCTACATGATGCGTCCATTTTGATTCAAAACTGCATAGTGGGCAGCGGTAGTACATCAAGTACAGTGCGCATACAACCACAATCCCGACAGTAAGTTTGAGGCTGACGATATTCTTACAAGAATTCATAAGGCAGAAGTGAACTCCGCCCAGATACTAATGCTGACGATGACCATTTTCTAGTTTTTTCATCACATTGGTATTGGTGGCTGATACAGCCCGGATAGCCTTGCGTCAAATGTCACGGATTTAAATTGAAGCAAACCTTTAAAAAGCTACACATAAAAGGAGCAAAACTTAACCTCCGCAGTATTGCGAAAACGCAGGGGAGCGGTACACAGCAAAATCGCAAGCGGTTTTCTAACAGCAAGAAGACCGCGCGCACCATTAATAGGTTCACTGTCGAAGAATAAGCGAAATACCGATATTAGGCTCGTATGACTGGAAAATGCAAGCCCATGTGGATAATAATTTTCTGTCCCATTCCAAGCCAGTTTTCTGTTCTCCGTTCGATTTTCAAATCACAACCCTAAAATATACGAAATCGGAGAAGCGGTTTCAGTGGAAAAAATAGCGACGCGAATGGTTTGAATAAACGTCCACCAATGTGAACGACTTACGCCGACTGGAAGGCATCACAGACGATACTACTGAAACTGGAGAAACAGATCCTGAACTTGCACGACAAAGTGCGCGCCGAATCCCCGCCCTTGCAATATGCACGACATCCTTGTTCATCAGCAGCAAAAAAACCTGAAAAACATCCGATGTCAACAAGAAGCAAGCAGGCGTGATCGCTGTGGTGGAACTTACCGGGCTGCCGGCGTATCCAATTTCCTGCACAGCTAGGAACCATCCTGCGCGTACTTTATCGGCAAACCAGAACCGCGAAAATCCATAGTTGGCAATTAAATACGGTATGTAACAGGCTGTAAACCACACGTACGACCACAGCAGCAAGCGGAACAGGGCGAACCGCTTTTTTGCCCTCCCTTGCAGCTCGTTCCGGTCGCGGTAATGGAGGAATAAGATAACCCCGTAAAGGACTGCCTGTAGCGCCAGCGGAATATACTTTCCAAAAGCGCCCACTGCTCTGAAAAGATGCCGGTTCGTCACGCGAATAGAGCCACAATCCACCTCACGCCTTCCGAAATAACTCCCGATACCGAAGGCACCGGGAATATTAATCGCTAGGCTGATGCTCCATGCTGCCGTAATGAAACAAGCCACAGCTGTGTTCGAAGAGATGTGTCTATACTGGTGCGGATAGGTTAAGGCGATGAAACGGTTAACTGCTAGGAACACCGAGCTCCATGTTTCGCTGCAGATAATCACTTGATTGATGCAGAAGATTGCGGTACAATTGATGCCGTCGATGGAGACGCCCAGCCACACACCCCAACCGATGACGAGAGAGAACGGACTGACAATGGCGGTCTGCAAAACGTGCAGCAGCTGGTGGTGGGCGACGAGGATGCCGGAGCCGGTGCGTAGCTGCGGCCGCAATATGATGGTTAGAAACAGCGTTGTAGAGAGAACGGCACCCGTTCCAGCGGCGCTGCCGTAGACGGATACCAGAGCGATGAGTTCGCGGTGCCGGCGGGGGATTGTCTCAGAGAGATTACCAGTAATCGTAGAAATATTCATTTTTCCGATTTCCAGGGACAAGTGTACATGTATGTAGCTACTTGAAATGCATAAAGCAATAATTTTTCACGACTTGCAGAACTGAAGAAGCAAAGTGCTGCATTCAATAGCGGCAGCCTGCGGTCGACAAAAGTCCCGCAAAATAATCCCATAAAGTGAATATAATCACAGAAAAGTTTTTTTACTTGCTGTTGGTTTTCGTACATCAGTGTCAACCAGGTTAACGTCAGTCGTCGTCAGCCGACCGACGTCACGGGAATTTACGAGGAAAATTACAACCTATGACGCCGATAGAGAACTGAGAGACCGGAGTTCTTGTGATATTTGCCCGACGTTCTCCAGTGATTTTGGCTTTTTATATACGGTCTGCTAGCGTCTACGAGGAGAAAGTGGGCTCACGATTCACGTCAGCTATGGGCTGTTCCGCATCTGATCCTACCACACCCACCCAATGTCGCGTTCGCTGGCTTTATTGTCTGTGCGTGAACCACCAATTCCCCCTATATCGAATCCACCATTTGCAACTTTCGGCCCCGCCCTCGTCCCGGCGTGCAGCACGTGCCGTACTGTTATTTTGCAACAAAGACTAGTATCTATTGCGCTGACTTTTGTGGCTGACTACGGTAGTATTTCGATGAGAGGTTCAAGCCGGCGAAAGGCGTGAATTCAGATTATGTACCTTGAATGTACAGATACATATTATTATAATATACAGATATTAGTACTAACAAAAATGTTAACCGTAATAAATGGACTAATCATATTAAGGTAAAAAAATACCAAGTACTAAAAATTCACGCATCATACCTCGTACAAGCACATACAACATAGACTCATAGAGTAAATTGTAATATCTTGTTAGTGGAAACCAGTGCATAATTTTTTTTAATTTTTATTTCATAAAATACAGATACTTCACAGATCAAAAATAGTTAGTCACGATTCACAACAACAAAATCTCATTTAATGCTGCCGCTCCTTCCGTTGTTCCAAGGACGCAAGCGGCGTTGCCTCGCTGAATTTCCAGCGATAATCGTTGGCGAGGAATTCACGAGAACGAGGTTCACCTGTCTGCAGCTGAAGTCGTTTACCGATTTCTTTTACCAGAGCGATGGCCGACTTTCCCCATGGTCCGAGAGTTTCGAAGGCTAATAGTGCATAATAATTTCCAATGGATTTGCAAAATAATTTTAAGCATACAGTTTACTCACTGCATAATAATTTCTTTTAACTCACTCATTTAAGGTCGACGACGGAATAAGCGTCACGCAGTCTCGTAAAATGACAGCGAATCAGAGATGCGTTTCCGCTGTTAAGGCTAGCGAAACGATAATCTGCAGTCACTTTTTAAGAACAAATTATCGATATAAACCGACATTTTTGCTGATTTTGATTAATGCCGACCGGAAGGCATCATGGACAGTATTCGGAGACACCGATCCCAAGTTTCCGGCCGGGGCGAATGGAGTGTTACTGTTAGTACGAAGATGAAAACACTTCCGTGACAGTGTTTAATTGAAGACCAAAGTCAATTACGCCT